AATCTCAAAAGAAGAAAATGTTTTGCCATCCATATCATCGGGAACCTTCTTAGCAGAAAGAATACTTGGTAAGACCATGATATAAACTTATATATATTTTTACTTACTTTCAATTTCTTCCGTCGGAGTGCTTCTCATGGGACTGCTGTTGCTACTATGGCTAGGGCTTTTAGAAACCTTAACACATTCATAAATCTGCAGAAATCAAAACAAAACGCTTTTTACCCTATAAATGAGTTTTACATGGAGAATATCTTCAATGTCTTAAAAAAAGACAGGAAAAACCATGAAAATAAATTGAGGTTATCCATTCGGAATATCATGCCATTTCACATTCCACTTTCTAACCCCGACTTTTCCCGCCCAAAACGCTTTTTACCCTATTTGTTACATTACAATGAGTTTTACATGGAGAATATCTTCAATGTCTTAAAAAAAGACAGGAAAAACCATGAAAATAAATTGAGGTTATCCATTCAAGATATCATGCCATTTCACATTCCACTTTYTACCTCCGACTTTTTMCGCCCTCGCCTTGCACGGKATGTAAAGGTCTTTTCTGGAAAAACCAGTTCACAAAAAAATGTCTTCATACCTTTTCGTGCATCTTGGATGTTTTTGAAGCAGATTCCAGGAAGATTTCAAGTTCTGACCACAGTTGCCTGTACTGYTCGTCTCGCTTTGGACCTTTTCCTCKGACTCCAGTAATAGTGATTGGTAGCACATCGTTGCGGCTTTCCATTGATTGAAGGCGGTAGATAACCTTAAATTCACCAATAGATTTATTTATTGATAATTATATCAGGAACATACACATACAGCTCTTTAAGAAAGGTTGTGGGAATGCAGAATCTACTGACAGTGGGTATATTAATCTCTGATTGCAAARGGAGTCATTACTGTCGTTTTGAACAGCCAGGAGTGCGGAGCAGTCAAAGRCAAAAACACTTTAAACTTGTACCTGCAGGTTTTTGATATGGTACTATATTTTTAGATTGAAATACATGCACAGTCATAGCATTTATCGAGTACTTACAGCTTTGCAGTCGAGTACTTCTTGTTCTGTTAGAGTTTCTTTCATAATCAATGTCGCTAGTGGCTCAAGATGCTGTAGAGGGTTATAACAACATGCTCAAATCAATATACAAATATGTGAATATGTGAAAACAACAGCCAGCCTCGGTAGCAGACATTAGCGGCAGAACCAAATTGCAAAAAATGTCTGCTAAGGATCCTCCCGGACCTACCTACATGTATTGTCTACAAAGCAGTAAAAAGATAAATTAACACCGTAAAAAAGTAGGTGAAACTTCGATGAAGGATTAACGTCTGAAATGTCACAGAGTAAACTGTTTCACCTACTTTTTTACGGGTGTTAAATGTATCTATTTACACAACGTTTCTTTAGAAACACCAACGCAGCTCACACTAGTTTACCGCTAGTTTCCACCATTTTGACTACAAAGCAGTATGTTTGTTTGTTTTTGTTTTYAATTACTTATCAGAGTTGTAGTTAAATACACATAAACACAAAGAAAAGAGCTTACTTTTGAATGGTGACATATCTGTTATTATCAAAAGGTATTTTAAATTTATGAAAAACGTAAAATGAAAACAAAGACACTGATGGGTATGGAACAATAAAATTGCTAGACGGTATTTTCTGAAWACATGCCATGTCTACTAACCTGCATCATATTCCCAATGACTGTATCACTAATGACCATAGGCCAATGACGAGTACACCTTTCTAATCTATCATGACCTATATTAATCAATAATATAATATATAATTTATAACTGATGTAGGTGGAGTCCAGCAGCTASACTTTTCAAATCTGGAATACAAAGACCCACACACGTCTATCACTTAAATTTCCTCAATGCTAGTTATTGACAGAGATGAAGAAAACCCAGGGAAACTTTTATGGAGAAAATCCTTCAAAAATGAACCAGCATTCAAACTCATTAAATCAGCKCCTCACAGAAAAGTACCGAGCCTCAAAAACATCATCAAAAACAGTTTCAAATAACTAATGGATAATAACTTACATTTCTCAAGTACATTCAGGTTTGCTTGAGACTTTTTCTTTGGCCATGGTGCAAGTCTATTGGATTTCATAAATTCTCCAAAATCCTGTGAAATAAACGATCATTATATCAATGTTTCATTCTTCATTCAAAGTACATGTATCATCACCATGGTGGCCTCAGACAAGCTTTGCATCTGGAAATCTATTCCCTGTGGTTATGCCTGTATGTTTGCACATGCAGACAACATAAGGTGATGTGACAAGTTGCAACCCAATCACTTTTTTAAATCTTCATCTAAAGYAAAGCTTCATGGAAAATTCAAGACACCATGAAATGAACCTTATATACTGTGAACTTACATTGATCCTGTAGTCAGTTACACGCCCACCAACACCTTCACTAATAGAAGGTGGGTCYTCATTAGGTGTGCGGGAAGTAGATATGCTATGGATGTATATATCACCTGAGATTAAAACAAAATGAGCTAATTAAGGATGTACTTTATAATTTCAGTCTGAAACAATTGAATGCTTGTTAAAATTAAAATTTCTGGCTGATATYTTATTTACAAGGACATATTGTTTATATACAAGGTTTTACTGTACACATGCATTTCACTGCTTTATAKCAATGACGCAAAAATAAGAAAGCATGAATTCATTGTGCTCAAGTGTACCTCCATGGCTCATTAATATGTGGGAAATCACTTTACTGCCAGACTTCCTGGGTTGCTCAAGCATCACATGTCGTCCTGGATAAAATATAATTCTTTTTAACTTAAAATGAACTGCATACAAAGTACATCCATGTCATATAGTGGTTTTTAGTTACCTTGAAGAAGGAAGGAGATAAGACATGATGTTGGTCTGCTGTTAACCTATGTGCAAATTATTTTARTTRAAAGATGAATATTAGGTCTTAAAACAAATTAACATTAGCTTGATATTCAAAAGACCAATATTATTTCCCTTTTCAGGAAAACCCTTGATTTTTTCAAGTGGGATTCCTGCCTTGAGCTCAAAAAACTGGAGCAACTCTAGGGAAAAGACTGGCTTCTGGAGACAGATTTGACATTGTGTATCATTTGATATATTTGGTGGACAACAGAGTGTATTTTACTCACCTCAACTGGAGTTATTCTATAGGATCCTAAACATGGGTAGAGCTCTGAAGAATAAATAACAAAACAAAATTATTCAATACCATCTCAAACCAACTCAAATTCCATAGAGAATTTGAGCAAATCAAAATCCAAAAAAACACAGTCTTAGCTCAGTCTTAGCCTGGTCTTAGGTAGTGGTAATACTCCATTTTCGAATTCAAAGCGAACAACCGCTGCTTTATTTGACAGCAGATTCTCTTGCGAAAAGATTTTACCAAACACAAAAGAAAGCACGAGAAAATGTTTATTATTACAATAGCCTTGAAAATTTGCATTTTCTCCTAGTTGAGACTAACCCTGTATTCCCATGAGACCTAGGGTATTAGCCTTCTGGGAATACAGGGTTAGCCTCAACTCGGGAAGAATGTAAATTGTTAGCGCTATTGTACTTACAACATTTTCTCGTGCTTTCTTTTGTATTTGGTAAGAGAATCTGCTGTCAAATAAAACAGCAGTTATTCGCTTTGAATTCGAAAATGGAGTATTACAAAAGACCTGAATGCAAACCATAGGATTGTGAGACCAATCTCATGACCACTTGGTCATAGCTGCCTCATAATAAAGATTGCTACGTCCAGTTATTATGCATCACAAGTCATGTACATATAATATGCATTTTAAACACAATATAACGATACAATGGTAAAGTTAAAAAATTAATGTTCAAATAGTTAATAAAAAATGGGATCAGCTACTCCCTCATATGATTAATTAATTAATTTATTCATTTTAAAATTGACTTGTATATTTGTAACGAGTTGACTTTTTGYGTAGCGAATTGACTTGATACCGGAAACAAATAGAGCTGGCCTTCAATTAAAGTGTGTAGTACTCTAACATAAAACGGGAGATCAATAATTAATAATTTATTACCATTTGTAGTGCTATTTTTTGGTGTRCACCATTTCAGGATGACAGAGTCTTTTGTGGCACCACCATCCTTCTTCCCACTTGTGGTTGCTGCAGCCACATTGGTGGACACATTAGTTGGATTTGCACTATTATTGCCACAGAACTGATCTAAAAAAAAAATGGTTAAAATGAAAATCTAGAAGTATACCATATCCATGTAAAACATAAGCTTCCTTGTTTACAAAAGAATCCTGGTCTCTAACTGATTTTTAACTTTGTTTCTAGTCGTTCATTAGAACAAGTACCTGAGATTCCTATAATTACAAATTAAGCTTAAATGTCATTTTTCTCATGAATGTAATATGCAAAAAAAAAAAGTCTCTGTTCTGTTCTGTGCATATTGTACATCCCCTAGGATTCTGTGTCAACTGGTTTTGTTTTCAACCAGAAATGTTTTCAACCAGAAACTTATGGTTGTGAGAAAACAGAGAATGTTTCTTAGATACTTACTAAAGACTTTCAGATCATGATGTACTTCKGCAGCATGCAATATTTCAACATCATAATTTGCTGAGCTTCCTGAATGCTGCTCTTCCTATGTAAAGAAAGCAAGACTTTTCTCAGCTTTAGCAATGAGCTTGTATACTATGTAGTCATTGTACAATGTAGTATGTAGATTAATTTTACAGAGCTTAAAATATTTTCATCAYGTCTATCAAAACTGTGCAATTCACATAATTTACAAGTAAAAGATGGATTTTAGAAGGAAGGGCAAATCTAGTCATGAACTTTTTTTTTGTGATTATAATTGTACACCATGTAGTCTATGTCTTCTTTATCAGGGTAATTTTTAGACCGTATTCTGATAGTCATTGGCCAATGAAATAAATTGCTAGATGAAGTCCATTGAAGTGTCTTATCTTTTTTATCAAAAGTTGAATAAAAACAAATTGCTGGCTTCAATGATTTCCCTTCCAAAGACATCCGAAGACCAACAGCCATGTTGGTGAACTACATGTAATTGATCAGAAGACACTAAATATTTTGTTGACAGAAGTACTAAGCTAAAATGTCCCCTGAAAACCAGCAATGAGAATAATAATTGAATACCTTCATTGGGATTCCAGTTACTGTTGTTGACTTGAGAGTAAAGTGTTTCCGTACCATGAGGCCAAATTTGTATACCAACTGTGATGACTTAATAGAATGGATATTCACAGATAAAGTTGAGGAAACTTTGGGAATCTTTTCTGAAAACTTTGTGCTGCTATCATTTGCATGAACAACGTGGATGAGAATCAAGTCTAAATTTTGAATGTGACAGCTGCAATAAGTAGAGAAGATGATAGAAAATTAATTAGGTGATTGAATAATAATTTTATCAAATTCATTAATAATTCATACGGCAAACACAATGGAAAATTATTGCCGTGACCGCATCTTTATACATATGAGCAAGAGATTTGTCCTGATTTGCATTCGACTTTAACTTTGATTTTCTCTTACAAATGTTATTTTATCCTGAAGTTTTTTCGAAATATGCTTTACATTATGTTGGAATTTGATAAGCAATATACAATATTCGCGTCCGACCTTTATGGGCTATAAATCTGCTCACTTGCAGCTMGCAGTTTTAAATGCCCTAAAAGTCTCCCGCTCAATAATTGTTATACTTATGACTTTTTTTGCTTGTACCTGGTTAYATTGCATTATTTACCTTCCAGTTTGATGTTGAAAAGCATCATTCACACACGCTACAAGAGAATTCAGATGTGCTTCACTACAAATATAAAAAAAGGAAAGATGAGAGGATTTCAGGATTCCAAATACATCACAAACTCTCAATCTTGCATAAAAAAGTTAGTTTTGATTGTTTTATTGCTTGCAATGCCATTTTCGGACTCTTTCATTATTCCCCCATGAGCTTATTAAGTTATGTTAGACAGCTTCAAAGAAATGTCACACRAATCAAAATCCCAAAAATTAATAAAAGTTAATACTTTCAACCATGCTTTTACCCAAGAATGCAYCTGCAAGTACAGGCTTACAAGCTCTACCTACTTTACAGTGTTTGTTGAGAATGGTTTGAAACAGAATTATTCCAACTACATGTACAATCTGGTTTACTGTTACTTGGAGCACATAAACAACAAGATAAATAAGTGGAAAAGTTCAGAAAACGATGACAATGCAAGGTGCTTCATTTTATAGTGCTGATATTTGAAGGTTTTCCAAGAGCAATGAAAAATGTCACTGACAGCAACTACACACACAATACAAAAATAAAGCAAAGCCCCCAAAACAAGCAGCAGCAGCAACAACAACAACAACAACAACAACAACAAAACAGTAAGTATAACAACAACTACAAAACATAGCAAACATAAATATAATATGAAGTTTGTGAATACTTTTTCAGTGTTGTAAGACATATAATTCTAGCTTTGTTATCTTCATCTCCATCTCTCTCTCTGGGTTGCTTTGGTAATGGTGCTGCTTCTCCAACACACTGGACAGCCATTGTCAGACCATGCATGATTGAGCAGTCTTCTTCATTGTCAGGTTTTGGTGGACCCTGGTTTGCAAATGTCCTGAGAAGCTGAAAATAATCAATAATAGTTAGTAGTCTTTCAAGATTGTTTCCACTTCAAAAATTCATTTACATGCATACAGATAATAAGATAAGAATGTCATTCTTCTACAACTAGATTTTTTTCAGAGATAAATAGTGGATTAAAAGAACATATTCAGTCTTAAGAAAAAATAAATGCAGATTTGAAGAACTGATGGAGATTTAAACTTATTTCCTTGTATTCCTTGTTAGAAATCCCCATATCCACCTCCCTGACCCCTTACAATAAATTATATATCATACCAGTACCCTGTAAAAAATAAAATAAAATAAAATAATAATAAACATAATAAGGTTACAGAAGTACCCAGAAGATGATGGCTACTGATTTCTAATACTGCACCCTACAGCAACTTCCGCTTACCATATTAATAAAGACACAACGAAGTTTATTCCTGGCTGCATCTATGAACTAAGCTTACTTACGTGTGGAACATTTTGTTGATCTGGTGATTTTGCATTGATCTTTTGGGCTTTCTCGTCAGAGACAATTATTTGCACCTGGATATAAATAAGCTTAAGTATAAAAACGAAAACACAGCAAAGCAAAAGTTTGATTATAAGCTTAATAAGACTTACTTAAGTTTATTCCCTGGACATTAATTAAGTTACTGTAGATTGAACAAGATTACCTACATGTACATCGAACAAGATAATTCAATACACTCACAACACTTACAATGTATTCATTTGGAAAYAGATCATACACAATCCTGCAATACTCTACAGTCGATTCAATAGAACACGTCCATGCGTTCTTGTAGACTGGGCCCAAAGAACTACTTTTTGCAAGGGATTTKGCACTCTTTCCTTTACCGGAGCCATCTAGATCAATATGCTGCTTTGATAGCGACAAGAACCTAGAACTACGGTCWAGAACAAACACAGTTGTTCTAGGACAGCATCCTAGCTTATTTTCAAACATATCTAGTGTTGAATAGAAAGAAAGCTAATGTTCGGACTTCCAGACGTCTTKGCCGCCATCTTRGATCACGAGGCTACTAAGCTATTTGTTTTCCCATGGTGCYAAGCGATATTAGTTCTGACAGGAAGCAGACCGGATCAGTACAGGAGCCTACCAGAACTTCTTCTAAAATTCTAAATAATCCTTATGTCTTTAAGAAGGACATCTCTATAGTTATAATCACGATTTTTAAAGCTCTGACTTTCGAAAGTTTGAATTTAGTAACATATGAGTAACATATTATAGAGCTTTCTTCGGCCTGTCTTCGATCTGCATACAGATTATAAGCATTTGTCACGATCGACTGGCAAAATGGAATCATAGCAATAAGATGGATTCTCTCTCAAGAGTCAAACGCAAGGAAGGATATCTGGTTAAAAAGGTAAACTTGACAAGGTTATTGGAAACATGGCACTGCAAATATTTAAGTTAAGCTTTGTTGTAAGATAAGGTCTGTCATATGGAATTTGCCCCGATGACTCATACCTTATAAGCTTATAAATGCCATTCTGTACTGTCGCTTTATTAGCTTGTAAGACTTAACTTACTGTTCAAATGTAGGAAATCTCAATATACAGTGGTTACTCTAGTGACAACTAATTTTGACATTTTTTATCTAATTCCTTTGACATTAAATCTCTGTGTTGTGTGTGTTTTTTACTGTGTTCAATTTAAAAGTGTTATGTAAATGTTTTCTATATTTATAAATTCTTTTTAAAGGGAGCAACCCTTAGGCGTGTTTTTTTTTCGGAAATAGATAGTTTATTAACAACCAAAGGTTGAATTATGGATGAATTATTAAATTCAGTACAAACATTGTTAGACAACTCAATCCTTAAAAATCACAAAAAATAATCTCAGGTCGAATATTCAGTTCTTAAATGTATTGTTAATTAGGATTTGCTCTTCTTTTGAAAACTATATAAATATTCTATTATTTAAGGGACATGTTCGACACAACTGGAAAACAAGATGGTTTGTTCTTTATGATGAGAGATTAAGTTATTACAAGAAAAAAGGGGTTAGTAAGTGCAGTTTCAAACCTGAATTTTGGCATAATTGTGCTTTCTAGTTTTAGTTTCCTGTTACAGTTTTAGTTCTTGGTTTTGTTTACTATTTTAAAATAAATATTGTTCTCCACACTATGAATTCTCATGAGCTGATTCAGGCTGATTAGAGTATGTCAATAAGATGAAAGACACTGTCACACGTGCCAACAACATCCTTTTTCGTGTGCATGCTCAGTTGAAAATAATGAATTTTTTGCTAATTTTTGGACTAAAAGTGTGTCATTTATATATCCTCTTTATTGACAGACTCTTGATGTCRTACAATTCAACTTAAAATCATCAAATTTATTTGTCAGTATATTTATGTAATGTATTGTGTGATCCATGGCCATGCAGGATGACAAATAGAAAGCTAGATTTAATCCCTAGATCAGCAACATGACGTATAAACAAGATATTTTTCACAGTATGACATATTATTTCTGATAACAAGTATTATAAAGAAGARGTTATTGATATTTCATTTTTTTCATAGGATAAGGAGCCTGTTGGGTATGTGCTTTTACAAGGATGCTTTCTTGTTAGTCCATGCACAGAATATACGAAAAAAGAGGTACWTGTATTTGCTAGGTTATAGTGAAGACAAGAGTATGGCTAGATTTCCTACACCTCTGTTTTACTTGCCATGGTTATACTGTAGAGAACACACCCAYATGATGTACATAGAATTGCTAAAAAATTGTATTTTCTGCAATTAAAATATAGAATGTGCTTCCACGTTCACTGCATTACATAAAAAGGTAGCCATGCCTTTGCAACAAAGCAAGATAATTTAWAATTTATTTTGTATCGCCTTGATATGTAGAGTGTATTCCGTTTGACCTCTAAAGAAGGTATAGAATACCTAATCCAGGCTGTTAACAATGAAGAACGTGATATATGGTCTAGTGCGATTGCTGAATGTATTAGGAAACTTGAAGCTAGAGACAGGGTAAGATAAGTGTAAACTTGCTCCAAGCTTAAKCCTCCTCTGCAGGTAGCTGTCTATAATTATAAAGAAGTTACATTTRTATGAGCGAATGGGCTTCCTTTGTCTTTTGTATATTTATCCCAGACTACCTCAGACAGAGAGAGAGAGAGAGAAGCATGCGGAGGAGGCTGCTCCAAGCATTTCTAATCAATTTATCATTTCTTGGGMCCAAGTAGTGGAAACATTGAGACTAGGCTTGACACAATCACATGACAATGCTCCCATGCCTTGGGGTGGGCCTGTCAGTTCACACATGAATGGTTTTTTTTAAAGAAATTGAAAGCTACTGCTGATTCAAAAAGGCTGTCACAAGTTCACAAGAGAGAATCATATAAGGAATCTATATCAAARATAAGGTACATGTATGGTCATATCTGATTCAGATCAATCCAAAATGGTTAATTGACAATAATATTTTCCATATTTCACACCCCAGTTCATCCAGCATATTGTACCCAGCTCTCTCATCCATTTGCCATGTTGAAAGTATGGCTGTGCCTTTATATTGAAACTAAACAACCATTGAGCTTGCAGTGATAAAAACATGTATTAAATAACTTAATATCTATAGGTGCATTAAAGAAGGTTCTATCATTGCTCCCTCAATGCTTTCAAGATGGCACAGGGAACCTGAAGACATTCTCCTCTGCATACATGTATTTTGAACCATAGCAATTGAGATTTGCATATTTTCTCCCCAAATTTTATACAATTATAATTTATTTGGTTTGTTTGGGTATTTTAGAGATATTATTGATGCAATGCAAGATCCAAATGCTGGGGTACCTCTTGATAATCATTACTGCAAACCTGAAAACAGAACACACAAGCTTTGTTTCACAGGTACAGTAAGTTATAGAAATATGAGAAAGGAATGACCGAATGAAACAGTCATTCCAGTCAGTGAAGAATTCAAGGAGATAGTCAAGGAGTCCGTTTGTCAAAACATCCATTAATCAGTCTATCAATCAATCAAGAAGTCAGTTAAGGACATAGGCCGCCAAACTATTGCTTGAGAGTTAAAAAGAACGAATGCGCACGCTTTTATCGCATCGGCGCGCACGCTTTGTGGATTACCTGTGGTATTACGTCATACTTTTGATCCTGTGGGATCAAAAACTAGTCTGTGATAACATGGACAATAAAAGCTTTTATTATCCTATACTGACAAGGCGAGGCAAGGGATCACAGGTAAACCGCATTTTGCTAAGAGCGCGCGCCGATAACAGTACTCGTACTAGCGTTAAAGCGTGCGCATTAGTTCTTTTCCTTCTCTCAAGCAATATTTGGGCGGCCTCTGTTATAAAGGAGTCAGTGATTCAGTTAGTCAAAAAGTCTATCAATCAGTCAAGGAGTCAAGCTGTCAGTCAAAAAGTAAGTGATTCAATCAGTCCGTCAAAATGCCAGTAGTAAACCAATCAGTCAGTCAAACAGTCATATACATTCAACTAGCAGTCCATCATTTAGTCAACAAGTCAGTCAGTGTAAGTGCATTTATATGGAGGTCATCGTTGTCGTAAATTCATTCCCGCATTCTTAGGTATACAAATAGTGGACTGGCTGCTAAAATGGTCATTCATTGAAGACAGAGATGAAGGTGTCGGGCTGTGTAATATTCTCTTGGAAGAAGCNGACATTCTCCTCTGCATACATGTATTTTGAACCATAGCAATTGAGATTTGCATATTTTCTCCCCAAATTTTATACAATAATTTATAATTTGGTTTGTTTGGGTATTTTAGAGATATTATTGATGCAATGCAAGATCCAAATGCTGGGGTACCTCTTGATAATCATTACTGCAAACCTGAAAACAGAACCCACAAGCTTTGTTTCACAGGTACAGTAAGTTATAGAAATATGAGAAAGGAATGACCGAATGAAACAGTCATTCCAGTCAGTCAAGAATTCAAGCAGATAGTCAAGGAGTTCGTCAGTCAAAACATCCATTAATCAGTCAAAAAGTCTAGCAATCAGTCAAGAAGTCAGTTAAGGACATAGTCCGCTCAACTATTGCTGGAGAGTTAAAAAGAACGAATGCGCACGCTTTGTGGATTACCTGTGGTATTACGTCATACTTTTGATCCTGTGGGATCAAAAACTAGTCTGTGATAACATGGACAATAAAAGCTAGGCGAGGCAAGGGATCCACCGCATTTTGCTAAGAGCGCGCGCCGATAACAGTACTCGTACTAGCGTTAAAGCGTGCGCATTAGTTCTTTTCCTTCTCTCAAGCAATAGTTGGGCAGCCTATGTTATAAGGGAGTCAGTGATTCAGTTAGTCAGTCAAAAAGTCCATCAATCAGTCAAGGAGTCAAGCTGTCAATCAAAAAGTAAGTGATTCAATCAGTCCGTCAAAATGCCAGTTAGTAAACCAATCAGTCATTCAAACAGTCATACATTCAAGCAGTTTAATCGGTCATTCAAGCAGTCCATCATTTAGTCAACAAGTCAGTCAGTGTAAGTGCTTTTATATGGAGGTTATCGTTGTCGTAAATTCATTCCCGCATTCTTAGGTATACAAATAGTGGACTGGCTGCTAAAATGGTCATTCATTGAAGACAGAGATGAAGGTGTCGGGCTGTGTAATATTCTCTTGGAAGAAGCGCACATTCAACCGGTTGGAATGACAAGTAAAAATTCATTCAGACGAAATMGAAAAGATTCTCGACAAATGTTTATCGATGAAACAGATGCTCTTTATAGATTTGTAAGTATTTTTTTAGTGTTTTGTATTACTGYCCTCCTTTTAAAGTTTAGTGTTCATACTACTCTCTTTAACCTACCCTTTTGTTTGGTTTCCTGTTCGTGTTTTAAACRAAATATTTGTGAATGTATTATAACTTTGCTGGCAACCAGTCAGGAGGAGCCGACGGGGTCTGTTCTTCTAAATAACTGTTCTTGTAAGAAGTTTTTCCTGGGAAAAGGATTTCAGCTACATTGTTGACAATCTCACAAGAAAATATGTCGCCCTTCCTTCTTTAAAATAGCTTTGTTCCTGGCAAACGTTTTTAGGGTCAAATAAGGCTTATATAACGTTTTTATGGTCAAACACGGCTTATATTATTTTTAATTAGAAAATTTTAATTTTCCTGGCAAAAGTTCTTAGAAAGTATTCCTTGCCTTGAGAGTTTGTTTTCCTAAATTTCTCGCTGGAAACCAGTTGTGACTTACAGCAGGCTGGGACATAAGAGCAGAAATATTTCTCCCAGGAACACACCGGCTCCTCTTGTAAACTATAGGATTAACGCATAAAAATATCCATGGATACGTGTTAACACAGCCTAAGGCTACTTAGAAACAACTACATGTATCCAGGCATACACTTACCCAGTAGCTAGTCAATGGTCACCCATTACTCCCGACAGCTAATTTATAATGATACAATTTTTCCCAACTTGACCATCAAACGAAACTGGCATCTAGGGATGAATCAAACCACAGGGAGCCCAAGCAGTGACTTTGAACCTATAATGGTTAAAAATAAAATTTTACWTAAAAAAATGGTCTACTTTTATTTTATTCAGTGTCACAATGCATTATAGATGGGTTTAAAAAAATTTCCCCTCCATGTATATATATAGTGACAAGGGAGGAGACTCCGCTCGAAATTCTCCCAAAAATGAGCCAAAAACGATCGACAAAAATCCTTTTTTCGCACCGAAATTAAATAAAAACGAAGTTTTATCTGAGACAGCACATGTAAATCAACGTTTTTTACCTTATTTTGGACGAGAGGCATCGATAGAAACTCTTTTCGGGCAAAAAAATCCAAAAAAGTGTCCCCAAAAATATCCCAAACCCATCCGTGTCGATGGTTGCCTGAGGCCACTTGCGCGCGCAAAA